CCGGTGCTGGCGAGGCCGTGCCTGCCCCTAGGGGGCCCTCTGGACCAGGCGGGGAGGACCATTCTCAGGCGATTTCAGCTTCCTTGCGCGGGGGGGGATGCCGCCCCGTGGACCGAAGTCCTAGGTAGGAGAGCGAGGAGGGCTGTCACTGCCAAGCAGCCCTCTTCGTACAGAAAGGGGACTAGGCTTAGCGCGGGTGATGGCGGGAGAGCCGCCCCGATTGGGAGCGCGTCCCGCCGTAATGTCGAGATGGCCCGCGTCATAAACAAGAGGAGGCCGAGGATCTCGGCGGTGATGGTGACCGTTGATAAAGGTGGCTCATACGCCGAGGTCATAAAAAAGGCGAGGGCGGCGATCAATTTCGGGGACTTTGGAATAAGGTCCCTGAGGGTTCGCCGCTCAATCACCGGGGGTTTACTCCTGGAGATTCCAGGGGCAGGATCATGCATGGCCGCCGATATGCTCGCGGAGGCCATGCGCAAAGTCCTGAGAGAGGAGAAGACCGTCACACTCGGCCGCCCCGTTTTGAGGGTCGAGCTGCGGGTCTCCGAGTTCGACGAGTCCGTCGAGCCCGGGGAGATCCGGACGGCCGTGGCGGTGTCAGGTGGGTGTGGGGTCCAGGCCATTCGGCTGGGCCCCATCCGGTTTTCTCGGCGGGGAATGGGATCCGTCTGGGTTCAGTGCCCCGCCGAGTCGGCCCTAGCGATCGTTAGAGCTAAACTTTGAGTGGTCGAAAGCCAAGGTCGAACTGTTGAGGGGGCCCCCCCTCAGGTGCTTCAGGTGCCTGGGGCGGGGACATGTGCAGCAGAGGTGCCCGCCAACGATGGCGGATCGGCGCCTCTGCTGCTTCAACTGTGGGCAGCCCGGACACTCGTCTTCTGGGTGCCGGGCTGGGGCGAGTTGTCCATTAAAGAGAGGGGGCTGGCATCGGGGCATCGGCCCGGATCCGACGCCTGCCGACCCGTGGCGGCGGCGCGTCCTGCGCCGAATCTAGGGAGGGCGGCCCGTCGGGCTGAGGAGGAAGAACGAGCGATACGCTTCCCCACTGTCCCCATCGAGGAGTTGGGGGGTGCGGCCGCGAGGACTCCTCGCCTGACGGTCCGGACCCAAAGAAGGGACGGGTGGAGGGGGTAACGGGGATATCCGCTGGTGCGCGTGAGTGTATTCCCAGCGCGCTTCCCAGGGTGGTCCTGGAGCCCCTCCCATCCACGTCCCTGTAGTCGGCGGTCGCGGGTGCGGTCTCGTCGGCCGCCCC